TGTTATCGCTTCATTGTTACAATAATTATCTTGTTTTCTAAATATCAGCCAGTCCCCGTTCAGTAACTTTTCCAATGTTTTTTTTTGTTCAGTATTATGTATATTCATGAAGTATTTTCTCTTTTATTTATTTGCTAAAACATAAATTTTTTCGATCTTTTGTGTCCTGTCTCCACCAAAAAGTTATCGTAAACACTTGACATATTTAATAGTAATTTCAAACTGTATTATGGGAAAAGCGTCTTCAGAAATGTCTCTTGACAATTTACAAAGATTAATTTTTTTTTTTCCCCAGATGAACTTCCAGTAATGACTTCCTATCAGGATGAGGGACTGTTATTTTTGGAGTGTCCTGTAGGACAGAGAAAGCGGATCTTTTGTTATATGAGATATTTAAACATCACATATTCATGAGCGTAAACAATTCCTGTCAACATCTGACAAAAACTGGAAAGACGAGAGAGAAAAATCTCAGCGCAGTTAACGTCGGGTCAATAGTACGTAGGTTAAAAGTTAAAAAAAAAAAAAAAAAAAGATTTTATTTCTTTGATTTCTGCAAAATCATTTATGAAGGACGAACAAAAAAATGGCGACTTTTATCAACATCAAAGAAATTTAACAAGTTTTTATTTTTAGAAACTAGTTAAACAGTAGATATTTGAAAAAATGTTAGCCGAAAACCCAACGGTGCCTATGTATGATAATATAATTTTTTATCAGTGTGTGTATATGTCTAGGGACGATTATAAACGTGTGTACTGCGCATTGGTTTCAAAATATGAGATATATAATACAAAATGCTCAAGAGCCACACAAGTCATAGCTTTACTGAATAAGGGGTGTGATGTAAATTAATGAGGAATTAAGATTATGGAGATAAATTAGAATTATTTACTCTCAATTGAAGAGCTTATGGTTGTGGTGTTCAAGGAAGCAATCACGCAGGAGGGTCTCTCAAAATGTTTCTTTTTTTTTCAACGTTCCCAAAGTACCCAGGCCTAAGCGTTGCTCAAGGTAGATGGTCGTTGAATAAGGTTTATGATATTAATGTATGAGGTGGCTTAAGGGAAATCTATAAGGATATGGCTAACGATTGGATCATGAAGAAATTGACATTGTAGCTTTCTGAGAAGCATCCCCGCGGGAATCTATTCCAGAAAGCAGTTGTAGGGAAGCTGCATGTATGGAATTACCTTATTACAATAGAAATACAGAGAGAATGTGAGCAGCGACTTTCCAAGCGTAGCTTAGATGTGGCACAAGGCCGAAAGGATGGGGCACCCAGTGAGGATCGAACTCACTACTCATTCGTAATTTTTCTAGCGAGACAAGCTTGCTAACCATTCCACCGCCTCGGGGTGCCCAGTGATTTTCCAAGCGTAGCTTAGATATGGCACAAGGCCGAAAGTAGGAGGCACCTAGTGAGGATCGAACTCAGTACATAGTCGTAATTGTTCTAGCGAGACACGCTTGCTAACCATTACAGCGCCTCGGGGTGCCCAACGAGAGAAAGAGAGTAGTTGATAACATAATCTTCCATGCCATTTATTTTACAGTTACTTGGACGCAACGGGTTACTGACGTTTGAGAATATGCGCAAAACTACTTATCAAGGAGAAGAGGACAATAAAAGAATAAGAATTAACCTGACCATTGGTCTCGAAAAGGACCTCCAATAGGTTGTTGACTGGGAGGGGATATGGCCGGGTAATTTTAATGCCTCAAAAACAAAACTGCTCTTTGTTATCCACGACAGAGAACGCTTCCTTCCTCCCATTAGAATATCTGATGCTCAATTACACGAGAGGACCTCTTTGCGACTGCTTGTTCTCACACTGTCTGCAGACCTGAGATGGAACAATAAGATTGAATTAATAGCTTCATCTAACACAACTTTGTCGCGTCAGAAAGTTTTCCTCGACCGAGTCCATCCTTCAAATGTATAAATCAAGCATTCGCCCTTGCATGGAATATTTTTGTTATATATGGTCTGGAGTCCCCGCTGTTCGTCTTGAGGCCATCTACAAAATTTAGAGATGGATATGCAATGTGGTTGGCCATGATCTGACATCTCGTTTACAAACGCTCACTCACAGACGTGCCGTCGCCTCTCTATGTCTTTTCTACAAATACTTTCACGGTACCTGATCCGACGAGCTACTTTCGCTGGTTCCCAAATTGCATGAATTTAAATGTACCACTAGGTCGGCATGTCAGTCCCACCCGTTCACTGTCGAAACGGTTAAATGTCGTCGACTCTTCTACTCCAATATCTTCACGTCTCGCACTTCCCGTTTGTAGAACTCCCTTCCTATTACTTGCTTCCTTGATGGCTATAATCTCCAACTATTCAAATGCAATGACAATTGATATCTCCAGATGCCTTGATCTATTCCCCGTCCTTCTCCTCATCCTTTCCTCTATCACTTCTTTTTAGTCTTGCTCCCACTCTCTGTAACCCCTTGAGTTATAGTGGCTCTCCCGCTTTGCCTGGGGTGAAATGTTTATTAAAAAAAGAATTAAGAAGATAACGATTGTCATTGCATTAATATTTCTGAACATCTGACTTGACTGGGAAGCAAAAGCCGAAATAGAGTTCCACAAGCGAGAAGACCGATAGAAAAAAAAACCTGTTAGCATAGTACTAACATATTTCCATCTAGCCATTTCAGCTGTAAAATGATGAGATCTTGCCGCCAGGTTTGTCCAGCGGTTAAAGTCTAGCTACCACTGCGGAAAGTTTATTGCAATAATTACCATCTAAGTATTTATAGAAAAGGCACAGAGAAGCTACGTTACGGCTGTGGGAATGGGACCGAAGCCGAGATGCCAGGTCAGGGTTTTTCTTTGTATTTTATTAGGTATCTCGAAATATACAGCAGCAGCACCAGACTTGACGTGCCAACAATATTCAAAGTCTTGCCAGTAAACTTCGGAATTTGTGGAACTAAAGATTGGAACTCGAAATAGCAATGAAGTTGTGTACCGAATCGTGTGAACATTTTTGAATTATATCGATACAATGAAATGAGAAATGGGCAGGTGGAGCAATAAACTATTTTTAGTCTGAGAACACTCTGGTAAATGTAATCATTGCTGGTGGTAACATTCGGCTTACCTTCGGTAAACAAAGGCCTGTTAAAAGAATTATAATAGAAGAATTTGCCTGCAGAACATATGCACATACCATCCCTACCTTTATATCATTACACCAAACTCATTTAGCAACCCGCTGCTTTGAGTGATTCCTGAGCCTTGTTTTTGGATTAACAACAGCAAAAATATATTTAACCAACAGCTGAGAGATGAGATAAATGATATATACGTTTCCAAGGGCATTTGTGTAAAAATGTATGCAATAGATTAGGCTGTTGTTTGAACTTAGTTCGCCTGATCCACTTTCTGCGCCTGAGTCATTTACGCTGTTCGCACTGAGAGGCGGATGAAATTAACCTTACTCTAGGTGAATGATTAACGCATCACAACATACAATGCATTGATTCTTTTTAGTATGGGTATACGTAGCTGCATGCCACTCAAAGTTACCATAGTAACCAATGTGCAACTCGAACACGTCTTGAAAGCGTACACGAGCGCAGTAACTGGAGAACGAGATATTGCTTTGTCCAATAATGTTTTATTAAAGAGAAGCTCTCGATTTCCATAGAATAATTTGAAAGGCAGCGTACGTTTGCGTTGTCATACTGGAGAAGTCATGGCACCAGAAGGCGCCGTGGGGAGACAACTAGCCGTTGGATTCAACGCAATGATTCGGCTAACGGTTTTCTGGGGAACACTGGGTTCGATCATTCATGTAGAAGGTCTTTGCCGCCTATCATCTACTTCAACATGACTGAAGATCAGGTAGGACCGTTCATAAAAGCAATCTTCTAAGACGACTATAGCATGTTTTAGCGGGACCATTCGCTTTGCCAAACTGACAGAATTACGCGAGAATGTTTTCTTTAACATGAAAAGAAAACATCATTGTATTAGTTTTTTCGATAAAAGAACAAACCTCTGAGCAATTAGATACGATATGAGAAAACATATTTTGCAACGTGGACGTAATAGTGTCACATTTTCTATCGATGCCAAAGTTCTATGTTTTGATGATTGTACGAATAAAGTTTCGGCTCCAACTGAAACATTTAAAAACAATGTGATGCATATAATCACAGAATGCAAGGTGATAGACGAAGTGAAAATAAGCAGGCTTAGTCATGTAATAAATAATAAATAATAAATTTACATTCAATCTTCGATAACATTCGTAATAAATCATTAAGACTCCTTAAGCACATTAAAAGAAAAAAATATAAGGACATGTTAAATTGTGTAGAAGTAAAGAAAAAAGAAGCAAAGCTGGAGGACTATGGTTACAAACACCTCCACTCTCTTTCCCCTAAATTCTAGTGCTATGTCCCATTAGAACGATGATGGTCATGTCTCTTCACAGTTTTCTGTTCCAGGAAGCTCTTTGAAAAGTTTGTCCTTTTGATAAGTTTTAAACGTTGTTCTGTTAATCATTAGCACAATCTTGTTAATTAGGATATACGGCGTTTTGATCTGTGCTTCTTTCTTTCAAAGTGTCCTGGGAGTATCACATTTTCTGAGCACTCTTTCCCTATATGTACCCTAAAAATTTCAACTATCTCTTTCTTATGTTAAATATAAATGTCTAAATCCTCGTCTTTGCTCCCATTTTCAGTCCATGGAATTCTCAGCATCCTTCTGTGTTGTATCTCGTATTTTCGAGATAACAGAGGGAAATAAGTAAGGAAGACAAACTCGTAGGCAATGAATGAAATAGAAGGTTTACGACACGAAGGTACACCTAGTAATTGACCCAATGCTGACACTCCTCAACTTCGATTAGCTCAACTTATTTACGTAAATGGACGATTCCATTCATTTATGTTCTATATGATAGATACTCAGATAGATATTAGAACATTTAGATGGAAAGTTGTTTTTTTTTATTTATTAAGTATATACACAGAAAGAAAGAAAGAAAGAAAGAAATAAAGAAAGAAAGAAAGAAAGAAAGAAAAACGGACTGCGTTTGAGAGACAATCAGCCTAAACGACAT